CATCGTAGTCGGTATCGTCAGTGAGTCTCGCAATTCTGAGCATCACACAGCAACCGTGCTTATTTCTAATGTAGTGTGGCAAGGTAAGCTTGCAAACGGAATGTGTATCTTATGACCCTTTATGAGCGATCCAAATTGTGCCTCTAAACTTTAATGTTTATAGATAAGGCGTGTGGTTCTAAGTGCACTTAAGATACTGCAATTTAAAGTAAAATTCCTTATGAAATGAGACAGGATAGACGAGGCGGCGATTGGAGTTAGTTGACTGACGGTAGGTTTTACAAGAGACGTCGTACATGTAGCAAAGGCATGTCCATGCCACTCACCCTGAGGCTTTAGTCTCTGATCTGAATGGACGAATTACGTCTCGAGTAGCACAGATGGGGAGGGGGGTCCAGGGGTCGAGTCAAATACATGTACAAAGGAGATAGCAGACGGATTCTACGGGGCAAGAGGGAGACTTTGATAGGACCCAGGCAAGGACTACGTAACAAAATGACAGACTTTGGTCGACATTCCCAGCACAAGGGTGAAGGGGGTGATAACGTCAGTGTGGAGTGTGAAGGGTTTTCATAAATGCCCACACTACATTAAAAATAAGCATGGTAAAAATTATGACAGGGAAGGCATGATAGGAGGATATAGGAAATGTGAATAGCCCAGGGCAGAAGGAGAGATACCACAAGTGTTTAGCACACGTTTGGTCAAAGGATGGACTTCACTTGTCTCTTTGGCGAGTTGTAATATGTTGCTACGAATGGCGAGACTCACTGACGATGCCGGCGATACGTCTGGGAATGTACCACGTCCGCGACCCTACTCTAGAAATGATGATGCATACAATGGACTCCGGACTAGGTGCGTTTATTTGAGTCTTCCTACCAATATGACCAAGTTGCGAAAAAAAGGTGAAACAACTTCTATACAGCGAAAGGAGATTGCGACCAAACAAAGGGCCACACGATCTTGGTATTCGTACCTACAATTCCTTCTTTCGTTTCGATGTTTTACACAATACAGACAGACTATAAGTATACTCTTATTTCAGACTACAACAGGTGGTAAACTCTTTGGCAAGAACAAGATGCTTTCTTAATTTATCTTTATTCTATAATTTATGTCTACAATTGTTGTTAAGCTGGAATTTCTGTATTATGCTAGTATTCCTTCGGACCTATTTTTTTTCTTACTTATAAGCCCTACACGAGAGCTAATCCGAATTGGAATTAAAAACAAGATGCAACCATTTTCTGGCACATCAAGTCTTTCCTTCAAATCCCCGTATGCATTTAGTCATCTATACCTTAGGTACCAAGGCAGCAAAGCAGTGCTTTGACTCTTGAATGACATCAACTAGTACATTTGGATCCACTCAAGTGCTTGAAACGTAGAGGCCACTCGCTATAAATCTTACAGCTTTAAGTAACTATATACGTTTTTTTGTCGCGAGGACATTC